TGTGTATGTGTGTATGTGTGTATGTGTGTGTATGTGTGTATGTGTGTGTATCTGTGTGTGTATGTGTATGTGTGTACGTGTGTGTGTATCTGTGTGTGTATGTGTATGTGTGTGTGTATCTGTGTGTGTGAGAGTGTGTGTGTGAATGTGTGTGTGTGTGTGTGTGTGTGTGTGTGTGTGTGTGTGTGTATGTTAGAAAAGGAACTTGAGAGGAAGAGAAATATCCTGGCAATAAAAGTTTCACTAAATATGGAAAATGGGCTATTTACAAAGAACTCAATTTGGGCTTTTCTTGTTTGTTTATTTTCACTGTTTATAAATTGGCGTACATATTCTGGAAGAAACTTTGGAGATTTCAAAATCACAGCTGACTGATTTCAACCCAAAATAGCCAAACTATAGACCCAAAGTTGTAAGGAAATGAGACATGCCCTCTTTCAACCCTGTTTTCAATGCACTAAAATCCGATTGTCGCACACATTGACTGGCACTGGAGGATGGAGCCAAGAAGACTGAGGTGAGACTGGGCAGCAAGGTGAGGTTGTCTGAGAACAAAACAGAGGCGAAAGAAGATGGCAAAGCATTTAGTTGTCTCGGGGAATAGTGCCTACCAAGTTTATTTCTAGTCGTACGCCTCTACTGTTTCCTGATAATTCCCTGAGTCTTGAATAGCCTCTTTTCTCATTACACTTCGTCAGGACATCTCTACCTTACTCGCAGTGATAAGACTCAAGCAAATGCTTTAATACAAGACTGGCTAGTGAAGCAGAGACTGTGGAGATAACTTGGTGGGTGTGGGTAAAGCATGAACTAGGACTTGGATTCCCAACCCTCGTGCAAAAGGGCTAGGTGCAGAGGCAAGTGTCTCTAACTCCAGTGCTGAGGAGCCAGAGACAAATGGGTTCCTGAAGCTCATTGGCCAGCCAGCCTAGATGAATTGATGAGAACCAGGTCCGGATAGAAACCTAGTCTCCAAATAAATAAGACGGGAGACTAGGGTGGCTAAGTGGGTAAGAACACTGGCTGAGCTAACATAAGGACCTGAGTTTGGATCCCAAGAACTTACATACAGAACAGTGTAACTATGCAATACTATAACCCCAGCATGGGGAGAGCAGAGAGAAATGAGGATTTCTGGACTGGACCTTGGTGGCCACTAGCCTAGCTCTAAGTTCAGTGAAAAGTCCTGTCTCAAAGATTAAAGCCAAGAGTGAAATCAGAGAGCCTCCATGTGCCTCCCCAGCCACCAGACACATACATGTGCATATGTCACATACAGAGAAATATGCAGAAATGGAAAGGCAGAGAATGGTTAAGGAAGATTCCTGATGTAGACCTTCCATGTGCATGCACGTGTGAGTGTGTACACACAGGTAATACACACAATTCAGGGCATACCTAGAAGCATGTCAGGTACAACTATTTCCTCACTTCCATGAAGAAGAGAGTGAAGGTCAATAGAGCTGATAATTTCACTGTATAAAAGCTACATCGGTATCAGTTGAGCCTGATGACACGTGCTTGGAATCTTAGCATGAAGAAGGCGGAGGCAGGAGGATTGTAAATTCCAGACCAGCCTAGGCTACACAGCAAAATCCTGTCTTGACAAAATAAAGGTAACACAAACAAACAAAAATATATCAGCTTGTAGCTAGAAAAGTGTATAGAAAGCAACTGGTCCAAACTTTACTACCAGGTCAACCTATACCCAGTCTCTCTCTTTCCCTCTCCCACCTCCCCCTCTTCCTCTCTCTGGCCTCTGTATCTCTCTCTGGTTCTGTCCTGCTTTGACTTCTGCCCATCGCCTGCTTTGGGCTCTGTGGATCTGACCTTCTCTAGAACATCTATTTTCTGCTGTGCTTCGAAGATTACCACAGAGTCCCAATCCCAATTCTCCCCGCATGACGTGGTCTTGGAAAATTTCTATTTCACCTCAACTGTCTCCTATGACTCCTCCCACTCCCCAGAAATCTCATCCAGCTAACAAGTAGCAAGAAGCAACCCCCTCATGTGAGGGACAAGGGAAGCTACAGCTGGTGACAAGATTGTGGTTGAATGTTTTGTTGAATCCTACCATTACACTCGTTGTTTGTCGTGCTGGGAATCGAGCCCAGAGCCTTGAACATGCTAAGCATGTGTTCTGCTGCTGAGCTACACTGAAAGCCCTCGTTCAATCCCATTAGTGCCATATTATAACTCCAAGTCAAGAGAAAAATGCCATGCAGGGACAATGTTTCAATGCAAACCACAAACTCTGTAGACAGTCTCTGCTACAGAAGCCCTGGCTCTCTGTTTTCCTCTGGACTTAGATCATCTTCTTCTAGATCACATTCTATAGACGCATATTCCATCAAAGGAGAATGTCTAGTCCTCTTCCCAGGCTCACTTTGCTGTAGAGGCGAACCATTTGATTCTGTTTGTTATTGTTTATTAGTGTGGTTTTGTTTGTTTGCTTGCTGAAGACTGCTCACTCGCAGCAAAGGGTCATAATCAAAGTAATTAGTACTTAAGGCTAAACCCCCAGGAAGAAATGTTTTAAGGAAATCAAAACAGCCACAGTTTACCCTGGAAAACTCTTCTTTAGGCCTCAGGGGGCTTCCCACCTCCACCACCGAGCCCCTTTGTGTCCCTCTTTTGAATTCTAACTGAAGAACATAGGCATCTTCTCTGTTTTGAAGCTTCAAGGGTAATACATCTGCAATCACGTCAACACTTTACTTACCAGAATCCAACAAAGAATTTCTCAAATAGCAAAGTACAATGTGATCTTCATCTGCAGATAGGATTATGTCCTTGATAGCACAGCTCAGGCAGCTGTACCAGCTAAGCCAAAAATCAATGATTGATTGTATAAATTTGGCAGAAAGAGCTCCACATTCCTTTCTCTAGAAGTCTCCAGAACGTCTAGCTCACAGCTTCGCTGGGTGGTTTAGAGCCACCAAATTTCATTCTAAGTCAAAGATGCCCTGGGCAGTAGCTGGGCAGTAATGCAGTGCCACCTAGCTTCCCTCCTGGGGTTGAGCTCATCCCCAGATGTTCTCAGTCCCTAAAGAAACTGGGTTTCCTTCCATAGCATTCCAAGGCCTTCTGAAGCACAAATAGGCAAAGGAAGACACTTCTTCACGTCCATCCCTCCAGGGAGAGCTGAGCATCAGGGATTTGCCCTGGAGTTAGGCCAGATGCTCTGCAGGAGAGGCACCTTATCGTGTGCTTGACTTCTCCCATCATGCATTTCTCCCAAGCACTCCCATCTTCGAACAAATATCTCTACATCTGTAGACTATGTTTTCCCAGCCTACAATCTTGTGGTCATTCATTCTTCCAAATCTTTCTACACATTCAGGTTCTGTTTTGTAGGGCCCGGTCTCCCCTTGCTCCTTGGGCTAAAATCTGCACTGTTTCTTTATCAGCCTTCCGTAACCGCACCAAACCGTGACCCTAAGCTCATGTCTGCATTATTCTTTATTTCCGTTCCTCTGTAGGATCTTCTGCTACTGTCCCTGAGCCAGCCAGTCCCAGGCAAGGACGTGGACTCACCATCTCATCCTTCAAGACTTTCACACTTTTACCAGATAAACTATACAGCTGTCCCCATGGCCTTCCTTTAAACTGTGTATGTGTCTAGGCGTTGTCCCTTTTGGGCTCCGAGCAGGAGATGCATTCTAGTCTTCTGAGTCATAATAAGCATTGAAGTTGTTATTGAATGAATAAAAGATTGAATGGATAAAGCAAAGCTGTTTATTTGGCATTGTTTCTCCGATCAGAACTGGCTGTATATGTACACAACGGCAAATGCCCACTTAATCTTTTTTTATAATCCCACAAGAAAATATGTAAACAAAATCCCAGGCAATCCCCCACACACACCACTCAGCCTCTTCTAGCCTCCTGCTTTCACTGCCACCTGAACTTGGGGGGGGGGGAGCCATGGGGATTTCTGGCAGCCTGATAGGAAGAGGAAAATGAGGAAAGTCAGATGAGGTTAGCTCTGAAAGCTGGAGGGTAATGAAGTGCCACAACACACAAGACAACTGACAAGCATGCTTGTGGCTGCACTGTGGAGCCAGAGACACAGCCTTTAGCGGCCAAAGGCATCGGAGGCAGAGGGAAACATGCCCGCATCAATCCCAGGTCCGGACTGTTCTCATGTTAGACAGAGTGTGCTATGGGGTAATACTTCTGTATGCTGTGAAGATGTACTACTTTTGTTGGTTAGTAATAAAGCTGTTTTGGCCTATAGCAAGGCGGAATAAGCCTAGGTTGGAGAGCCAAACTGAAAATATAGAGAGGAAGAGGGGCAGAGTCAGAGAAAAGAGCCAGCCACCAAGGAAGCAAGATGCTAGAGGACAGGTAAAGCCACGATCATGTGGCAAATTATAGATTAATAGAAATGAGTTAGTTTGACTTGTAAGAGCTAGTTAGTAATAAGTCTGAGCTGTAGACTGAACATTCTGAATTTAATATAAGCTTTTGCATGATTGTTTGGGACTGGGAGTCAAGACAAAAGAAAAACTCCACCTCCGTTTACAAGAGTGACTGCGTAAAATGCCACTCAACTGTTGGCCATCCTCCAGTGACCTCCCGTCCACGTGGTCACAAGGGAAGAGCTGAGGCATGCTAAGATTCCTCCCCTAGCTTCCCTCCACTCACCTCACTCCTGACTGCTTGCTCTTCCTCACACTCTGGATATTACTGATATAAACTCTCATGCTATTTCCTATACCCAGTCCCTGACTTTTCTGTCCTCTATTTCCCCAACTACACATGCCCATCTCTTGCTTTATCCAGGTCTTCTATAATACAACATCCCTAGCATGGCCTTCTCTGGCACAAACCTAGGCTACTCTGTCTCCATTCTGCTTCCTTTTTTTTTTTTTCATTCAAAAATTTACACTTCCTCCCCTCCTCCCAATCCCCTTCTGCTCCCCCACTCACCATCCTCCCTCTCCCTCCCTACTTGAGAGAGGACAGGGAACCCTGCCCTGTGGGAAGTCCAAGGCCCTCCCCCTCCCCCTACATTCAGGCCTAGGAAGCTGTGCATACATATAGAGTAGGGTCCCAAAAAGCCAGAACATGCCGTTAAAAAAAAAGTCCCAGTGTCTTTATCAATGGCTTCTCAGTCTGCCCCCATTGTCAGTCACAATCAGAGAGTCCGGTTTGATCCCATGCTCGTTCAGTCCCAGTCTAGCTGGCCTTGGTGAGATCTCAGTAGAACAGGCACACTGCCTCAGCTGATGGACCAACTGCTCACAGTCCTGACTTTCTTGCTCGTCTTCTCCCTCCTTCTACTCTTCAACTGGACCTTGGGAGCTCAGTCCATTGTCCATTCTGTTTCTTTATCTTGTACCATAGCACTTATGAACCCTAAATATCATGTTTTATAATTGTATTAACTGTTTGTTATCAGCTGGGTGGTGGTGACACAAGCCTTTAATTCTAGTTCTCAGGAGGCAGAGGCAGGCAGTTCAGCCTAGTCTACAGAGTGAGTTCAGGACACCCAGGGCTATACAAAGAAATCATGTCTTGAAAAAAAACAAACAAACAAATAAATAAATAAAAAAAATTATTTACTAGCTTTGCCCACCAGAATATGAATTTTAAGAAGGCAAAAAACTTTCCCTTTTCATTTCTGTACACAAACAAACAAAAACTGTCTTAGATCTAGATCTCGAAAGAAGAAAGTTTTGTGCACACATCTGCTCCTCTCTATGGACCAACTACTGTGATAAGCCTCATATTCTGGGACACACAATAGAGGTTTTCTCCTTGTCCATGATCTTGCCTGTCATGAGTGTTCCTATTTAGGTCGCACAAGGCGTGACCAGGCTTCCAATTCAGTCGGTCTACCATCCCCTATAACCTCGGAATCCTCCTCCAAGATTCTCTCCATCTACAGAGATGGGGAAGCTAGAAAGAGCATCAAGCGCTACACAGGTTGTTTTAGGAATTGTGTCTAGAGTGATACAGTTTTATACCATGAACACATGGCACACTAAGTCTGTCATGAGGCATAACCCCTGGATGATACACACAATTACTTATAAAGGAGTTAGAGACACTCTGGGAAAGAGAGGGAAAGATGGACCAGGAGAAAACACTGCAGATCCACAAAAGTATTTAGAAATAGCAGAATGTCTCAGGAAGTTTCAGCTTGTAAAAGGGATGGGCATAAGATATGAGCCCAGAAGGCAAGAGATTAGAGAGGTGGGCAGAATCTAGATCATGAAGGAGGCAGAAGATTGGAGAGGTGGGCAGAATCGGGATCATGAAGGCCTCTGTACTACACCAAGATGTTCAGACTCATCCTACAAGAAAAGGGAGATAGTGGAGGTTACTATAGGATGGGACTAGAAAACAACACGATTGTATGCAAGTTATTTTTTAAAAGTTTACCTGATAGCTGTGAGGAGGATGGAATTCGGGACACAGAAAATGTAGACAAGATACTTAGACAGGAATCTGTGGCCCCAACACAAGAAATGCTGACGGGTGGGAACCCAAACCGAAGCAGTAGGGTGAAGCAGTGCTAAATTCTGGCTGATTTCTGGAAGTTCTCATGAGCACACTCACTGTTTCTGGAGAGTTAAAGACTCTATGGCCATTAGGGGACTTAAAAATCCATCAAATTAAGAAGATAATAAAGTCATATTTTAATTAAATTTCTAATTAGATTTCTAAAGCCTACCACTAAAAAAATACAAATCAAACAAAAGGACTAAAACTGTTTTCCCATCAGAGCAAAGTGACTACTAGTGTGTATGACAGGAAGAGCTGGGAGTGGGATATGCTGAGTTCTCACACTGATAGTGAGGACAAGAGGGAAGAAAGTCAGAAACACCCCCCTAATGTCCACACTGAGCACCGAGTTCTAACTAAGCAGCAGATAAGAGAGGGCTTATTGTCTGTCATAACACTATATTTCTCTCCACCAGATATATCAATATCATCCTTCCATTAAATTAAGTATTGACTGTTCCCATGACCATGCTATCAGTTTTTAAATGTCTTCTCTTTATAATTATATTATTTCTTTCCCATTAGCCATTCCTAATCCACACCTCTGATCGAAGTTAATTAGCTTTATAATATAGATATTTTAAAGCCATAGCAGAAAAGAAAAACACTTACACTCTAGAGAAAAATTAAAAAGTCTTAGAAAGTAGAGAAGAAATGAAAACATGAGCAGCATTTTGTAAGACAAATTTCATGACTCCAAAATCTCTGGAATAATAATTTCTATTGTGTTGAAATGGTACCGTTATGAGTAACTTATTTTTCTCTATCAAATTCTCTTAGTTCATTACTTGGAGAGTAAAAAAAGAAAAGATGAGCAAATGATGAAATCACTTTTTGAAAATTAATTTACTCATAAAACTACCAGGATTCCTGAATTCTGATTTGGTCCCCACTCTTTATGGCACCCTGTTGTATTGCCTTATCGTGGTTTGCATGAAGACTGTGATATCAGCACTATCATATTCTAATGATGCTGTTAAATACTCTCTATACATTATCTCACGTACTGAACCTTTCAAAGTACATTGGGTTTTTTTGATTTTTTTTTTAATTTTGAAAACATGGATGAAGCCACTGGGCTAAGTAAAATAAGCTAGGCACAGTGCCACACAATCATGAATACATCCTCGCCAACTCTCAGCTTTTCTGAGGACAGAGGTGGGGGAACAGTGACTTTCACATCGAACACTCCAGATTTCGGGAGTCTTCCTGGATGACTACTTTTGTTCTAATCTCCAGTCAGGCCCAAGTTTGGGGATCTGTTTTAAACCTTCCTCTAATTCTTTCCACTGTATCTAAGACCTAAACTCAAATCCAGGCTTTGGCATCTCTTACTTGATTAATAACTACCCACAGGACCAGAGTAAGTCTCTTTTGTCTGTTCCCCCAACTCTAGGGCC